TGGCATACAAATATAACATCTAAAAGATAAAACATGCTAAACAAGTGCATGTCCATATACAAAAGTGCTTTAAGTACTCATGAGCCCCTATGGATGATGAGCATCCATAAATATTGTCTCCTTACCTATAAAATAACCCACACAACTAGGGTGAGTAATCAAGTTACTCGTAGGATGTGGTGTATGCGCATACCCTATAGTTTCAAGTATAATGTGAACCAAACATAAATCATCACAAGGGTGCATTCCACCTAATGTCTATATTTTCAAGGTACTCTAAGGGATCATCTCAAGCTATACATATATTTGAAATGACAACCACATAGCATTCAAGTATACATGAACAAGTACACTAACCGTATTGAAACTAAAATCACCAAATCACAAGCTACAAGAAATCCATGATTTACAACTTGGAATATAATGCAAATCAAATAATGGAAAGACTAGGATATGTGGCCACGAGACCATACAAGTTATTTTGGGTAATTACGACCCACAAGGTACTACCTAGTGCGCACTATGACTTAGGAGAATTCCTATCCTCCGTACTAGAGCCAAACCCTAGCCATCAACATCTCATATCCTTACAAGCTTCTAAAAATCAACAAGTTCATGACATCTATGCAATTTCAATGCATGAAACTACCTATCAAGCACAAGTAGGGTAAAACCACACAACCCATGTCTTAAGGTTACATGTCTAAAGTGGCAAGTTAATGATATTACACATCATGTTATATCAATTTACTATCAATATAGGCGATAATTGTAAATCATAAAATATAGTAATCTAACTACAAGTAATTATAAGTGCCACATACAAGATTTTCATACTAAGCTTTCAATGAAATCTATATTACTTAACATCATAAATGTAATCTCAAGATATCCATAATAAAACGTCAATGGAATCATGAGTATTAGGCAATTTATTAGACAATAGCCTACCTATACAATTTAATAGTCACATACATGCTTTAACCCATAAATCCTAAGTCAAGCATAAAAAATCTTTATTTACATGCTAGTACAAGAATTTAAAAAGGCATGTAATCAATATATATTAAGCTCCAATATATATAAAACCCAAAGAAGATAAACATACAACCACCCCTACCTCAATAGAGAATTGAATCTCTATAATCCAAGCAACCAAGCTCAAAATGGAAAACAAGTTTAGGGTTAATGAAGAGGGGAGTGAGAGGAAGCTTTTCTCTTCCAAGGTTTTATATCTAAGGTGAGTGGAAGGAGGCCAAAATGAAGAAGAAAGCTATTAACCAAGCTTTTCTCCAATGGTGGCTAGGTTATAGTTCTTGAAGACAAGTGAAAATGAAAATGATAAAGTGTAAAATGGTGAGTGAAAGGGCTAGAAATCCTCCACTCACTATGTGCTCTTACACTACCTCTCACACACACACAATGCAAGACTAAATGGTGAGTCTACACTTGTCATGAATCTATAGTTCATTCCTAGGCTTAATCTCAAGCCTACACTTGTCACCATCCTATGTAAACTTCCAAGACTTAATATTGAACCTACATTTGTCAACCATCCATGCCAATAAGTGGGTGAATCTCCACCCTTCACATGTCATCATCCAAGGCATCAAAGTATTTCCACACAAATGTCAGCAAGTGGACCAATGAGAATGTGACACTTGTCACACTTTTTGAAAATTTCAAACAAGTCCTTTTTGAAAATATCTTCCAAATTAAATTGCAAAATGGTCCCTAAGACGAAAAATAATTACTTTCCGTAATTACACTAAAACCCCTCAAGTTTAGGTTAATTACACATTCATGCCCTTTACAAGAAAAGTACTAATCTAGCATGCTTTTCAAGAAAAGTAAAAATACCAATGTCATGGAAATCAAATACCATGAATACATACAAAACCAGAATCAAATCCTAGCATAACAAGTGAGGTTATGCAAGGAAAAATGGAAACCGAGAAAAGACAAAAGTGAATAGTGACGAAAAATGAAAAATGTGAAAATGACTCGGTCCTTAAAGGAAGTTGTCAATCCCAAGAAAAAAGTTTCAGAAACCATTTTCGAGCACTCGAGATGACACTAAGTGACAAGAAATCAAACCCAGAAAAGAAATTTCAATGAAAAAAATTCATCCGTAAAATTTGAGGAAGAAGGAAATGAATGAAAATGACCGGGTCATTACAACCACGATATGAGCTTGAGTCTTAGAGTCATTGGTTAGGGCGCGTATATGCAGTGGATGCGTAGCTGGCTATGATAGGTTGAGGTGTACCCTATTAGGTCTAGCTACTCATGCCCACTTTCGGGTGCATTTTTGTATGTTGCCTTCTGAGACCCCTTTATAGTTCAGTGAATGTCCTTAGTGTGGATATATATATATATATATATATATATATATATATATATATATATATATATGGACTAAATAGTTATTGTTGAGTTGTCTAGGATGTACCTGCGTATCGGGTCTCTGTTTGGATTATAGTTATGATAGAACTTGTTCGTGGGCCTGACCCACTATTATTTTTCAGGTAATGGACGGTTCCAGGTCTTAGAGCTTGTTCGTGCTGAGTAGAGACTGCTACTCATTCTTCTGACGACGTAAGAGTTTTCTTCATGATTTAGCATTGGAGATCTTCAGTTGTTGATTTTAGTGTTGGAGTTTTATTAGGGGTCCACCAGATGGATTCCCGAGTTGTATTGGAAATGAAGAAGTTGAATGTATCATAATAGTTTCTTATTTATAAAATTTATTCTGAGGTTTTAGTTTTGGATTATTATTTTAGTTTTCTTTCAACAAATTATTTATTCCTATTTATTCTTTTGTACTTTGTGTTCGTTTATTGCCGATTCGTTTTGATATTCTCGGGTATTCGAGCGTGGGCCTGGCCAACCCGCATCCGAAAATCGGGGGGTATCACATCATGCCTTTGGAAGTCTTTCGTTGAAGTGGGCTCCCGGACGAGAAGCTTATTCGGAAGCCAACTGAGATTGCTGGGTCTAGAAGCGATATCCGGAGGACCGAGGGGCACGTGACGACTAAGTTAGTAATTGGAAAGTTCAAAGGTGCAGTTAAGTTTCATGTCATTGACTCGGATACCTCTTACCATTTGCTCATGGGTCGAGGTTGGATGCATAAGTTTGGGATTATCCCGTCTTCTTACCATCAATACATAAAAGGGTTCTGGAATGGGAAGCAGGTTACGGTCCTTTGCTCTGATCGGCCGTTTACCAAAAAAGAATCCCATATAGTGGAGGCTGGATTCTTTAATGAGCTAGAAGATGTTAAAGAACCCCAGCCGCTGTCGGCTATACCTTTGCCAAAGTGGGAAGAGATAGAACAAAGAGAGAAGAAAAAAATGCCCGAAATGATTGCCAATCAGAAGAAGCCAGCTGTTTTCAAAAAGGTACATTTGTCTAATGGAAAGATTATCTACCGCTTATGACGGTGTTGAGGGGCAAGACCTCTGGCGAGACTACGCCCCCGAGTGGAATCATGTCAGGCCGAATTACTAAACTACGAGAAGGAAGCAAAAGTGGAACCAACCCAGCCAATTCAGCTTAATCAAGATGAAATAGAAGAGGTCGATCTAGCTAATGGTGGCCGCCCTCAGGTGGTCTATGTGTGTAGAAGGTTGAAAGGTGATGAAAAGGCGGCATTAATAAATTTGCTCAAGGAATTCGAAGATATTTTTGCCTGGACGTATGAAGAAATGCCTAGATTAGATCCCCAGGTAGTGGCTCATCACCTCAATGTACGACCGGATGCACACCCAGTCAAGCAGGCGCAAAGGACCTTTCGTCCGGAGCTTGAGTTACAAATCAAGGAGAAAGTGCAAAGGTTGTTGCAAGCTGGTTTCATCAAGCCTATCCAGCATCCTACGTGGTTGGCCAACGTCATCCCAATAAAGAAGAAAAATAGAAAGATCAGAGTCTGTGTTGACTTCAGGGATTTAAATAGGGCTTGCCCGAAAAATGACTTTCCGCTACCCATAATTGATAATTTGATCGACTCAACCTCAGGACATGATATGTTCTCGTTCATGGACGGGTACAGTGGATACAATCAGATAAGAATGGCGCAATATGATGTAGAGAAGACGGTGTTTCACACTCCCTTAGGAAACTTCCATTTTACAATCATGCTTTTTGGTTTGAAAAATGCTGGGGCTACCTACCAGTGAGCCATGATGGCTATTTTCCACGATATGTTGCATAAACAAATGGAAGATTATGTAGATGATCTAGTGGTGAAGTTGCGAGCCAGAAGTGAGCACTTGGCTGACTTAAGAAGCGTCGTTGAAAGGTGTTGAAAGTATAAGCTGAGAATGAATCCGTTGAAATGCGCCTTTAAAGTAGAGGCTAGGCAATTCTTGGGTTTTATAGTGCATCGGAAGGGCATTGATGTTGAGCAAAGTAAGGTTCGGGCCATTTTGGAGATGCCCCCTCCCCGCTCTCTTAAACAGCTAAAGAGTCTGGTAGGACGGACTTCATACCTACGGCGGTTCATACCGGCTCTTGCCAAAGTTACACATAACTTTGGTAGTCTGATGAGAGGAAGGTCCGAGTTCGGATAGAATGAAGAACACCAACAAGTGTTTGACCGACTTAAGAAGTTGCTGTCCTCGCCAGTCACAATGATGGCTCCTCAGCCATGAGTCCCCCTCAAGCTCTATATCACGTCAACTGAGCATTCCATTGGAGCGCTTCTTGCCCAGGAAAGAAAAGGCTGTGAACGCCCTGTGTATTACATCAGCCGAGTTATACAAGGCGCCGAGGCACGCTACTCTCCAATAGAGCATCACTGTTTATCTCTGGCATTTATAGCCAAGAAAATTTTCCATTATTTTCTCGCCCATACTATCCACCTTATCACCAAGTGTGACCCATTGTGGTATTTGCTTTTGCGACCAATTATTTCAGGACGAGTGGCGTAGTGGCTCTTAGCGTTAGCGGAGTTTGACATTCAATGCCTCAAACCCCGTGCCATCCTAAGCCAGGCCATGGCAGATCTGGTAGCTCAATTCCCTACTGGTAATTTTGAGCCAGTATATGATGATCTTCTATATAATGAGTTTGAGTCAGGCTCTTGTGCGGACAAGGATATGATGTGGACATTGTCATTTGACGGGTCGTCGACCTTTACGGGAGGAGGCGCGGGGGTAGTGTTGACTCCCGAAGGAAGGGAAGCCCAAAATCTTTCATATAAGCTCACTTTCGGATGTTCCAATAATACGGCAGAATATGAAGCCTTAGAGCTTGGTCTTTTAGCAGCACGGGAGGCTAAGGTCAAGCGGTTACATGTTCAAGGGGACTCAAACTTGGTGGTGAGACAGTTGGACGGTTCCTATGCTATCAAAGAGCCAGCTTTGGTGGCATATAGAACATTTATCCAAAAACTCAGTAATTATTTTGATGAACTCCGTATAACTCGTGCACCCCGGACAGCCAATCGACAACAGAATACATTGGCTACATTGGCGTCCAAAGTTAAGATTGCGAGAGAATCGGTGGATATTTGCATTCATAAGAAGAACAAGTCATGCCTGTACGATGCAGAATTTGCTGGCCAAGAAAGTAAGGACGATTGGCGAACTCCGTATGAGTCATAATTAAAGGGAAGCACGGTTGGAATTTATTTGTTGGAACTCAAAAATTTTACATTGTATTTGGGGGTATTATACTTCAGAACACCTGGTGGAACTTTGGTAAGATGTGTCGGGAGTCTGGAGGCTAGCCAAGTGTTGACTGAAATTCATAGGCACACGTGGGGTGACAATTCCTTGAGCCTGTATCGGAGGGTGCAAAGATAGGGATATTATTGACCGACAATGGCGAAAAATGCAGCGGCTATACAGAAAGCATGTACAAAATGCAAAGAACTACTCGAGGAAGCCCAGTGTGTGGCTAGTGTTGAAAAAGACTGGAGACAGAAATATGTGGAATATCTTGGAAAGCGATCCCTCCCGCAGGACAGCGATGAGGCCGTTCTGTTAAAAAGGAAGTAAGATAATTTTTCATATGCAACGGTGAATTGATGAGATAAGGCTTCGATGGCAGAGCCAAGAGATGTGTAGGCCTTGCAGAAGCTTCTGAGGTGCTGAAACAGGCTCATGAAGATGAGCACCAAGGTTGGAAGAAGCTGCATAATCGTATTATACAGTTGGGTTACTATTGGCCTACAATGCAGACGAACAGCAAAAAGCATGCCCAAAAATGCCAGGAATGTTAAATTTATAGCCACAACATTCATGCCCGGACGGTAAAGTTGCATTCTACACAGGCCTCCTAGCCATTTCACACTTAGGGCATGGACTTAATAGGCCCAATCTCGCTAAAGTCTAAGAAGAAGAAATGGATGCTTGTGGCGACAAAATTTTTCACTAAATGGGTTGAGGCAGTGGCCTTATCAGTGGCGACAGGGCAAGTGGTGGCGAATTTCATCAAGGAAAATATCATATGCCATTTTGGCATACCTCAAGTCATCTTGTCTGACAATGGGACCCCTTTTGCTAACAGCAGAGTCCGCGCACTTCTACGGAGGTACCAGGTGACCCACCGTAAATCCACACCATATTATCCCAAAGGTGATGGACAAGCAGAAGTGACCAACAAGACTCTATTACAGATCCTAAGTAGAACATTGAAGGAGCAACATGACAAATGGGCGGAGCAGCTTCCCCTCGCGCTTTGGGTATACCGAACTACTGTTAGAGGTGCCACTAACGCGACACCATTCTCTTTGGTTTATGGCGCCGAGGCCGTTCTCCCAGTTGAGATAGCGATCCCTTCTGGAAGTCTGGCTGAACGAAGCCAGGTTTAAGTCAACTCCAGAATTGGAGAACTCGAAGGCTTGCAAAAACAAAAAGAACATACGAGGAACAGACTCATAGTTTATCAAAAAAGGATAGCTCGAGCATACAACGCCGCTATAAGACCTTGAGCATTTCAGGAAGGGGATCTGGTACTGAAATCAGCAGTACACGTGATGAAAAACCTATCGGCACCTAAGTTTACTCCAAAATGGGAAGGCACCTTTGAGATCAGAGCCGCAAATGATAGCGGATATTATGAGATCGGAAGGATTGGCAGCAACAAAATTCTGGGCTCCTTCAATGCCAAATGGTTAAAGAAATATTATGTTTAAATTTCAGACAATCTCCCTGGAGGCCTTATATTTGTAAGGGGCTGTTAAAGCCTCGTCCCTGTTCTTTTAAAAATAAAATGTGCTGAAGAGGGCCGAGGGACTCTATATTTCCCAAAATTACTGCTATACATGGTTTTGCTTTTTTATCCCTGTGGCCACCTCCCCTCTGATCGAGGTTGTCAAATGACAAATGCAAATTACGCAAACTCTTGGACTAAAGACAATTTATGGCATTTGACATTATAATCTGGCAAAAAAATAAAATATAAATAAATAAATAAATAATTTCCATTCTATAACAAAATATGAGTTTTATAAGAGTACATAGTCCATTAGAATTTAAGCAAGGCAACATAGCTACACTTGACCGAAATAAATATACAACTTTTCAAAAAAAAAAAATCAATCAAGGTAGCTCGCAAAATTGAGGGTGGCAGGACCAAACAATGATTGTTTACTTTTGACCTCGCTATCGAGAGAGGCAATGCGTTGCTCCCTTACAGTTATTTGCTCCTGTAACTCGACCAAACGAGCCTTCTCGATATAGAGCGCTTGCCTCTCTTCTTCTGCTCGATCACGAAGGTCTTTAATCTCCTCCACCATCTTCTGTCGCACTTCAAAGGCTTTTAATCGCACAAGTATATCTTCGGCCCAGCCCACTTCGACTTGGGCCCTTTTTAAATTGGCGAGAAGCCAGTCCAAATAATCGAGCTCTCCTCCACTTAAAGATTTTGCTCTGGCCTCGCGGAGGGTCACGGTTAATTTGTTTATGGTCTTGTACACAAAGTCCAGAAAAAAAGGTATTGCCCCCTCGAGATTCCCAAAGGTTTGGGGATGTTTGGCCTTTACCTCGTCTAAGACTCTGGCCTCATCTGTGGAAAGAATTGTCCCACCCTACGATACGAGCGAGGGAGCATCCACAGTTTATTCTGGCCTTACAGCAGTTCCTTCATTACCGCTCTCGTTTGATGGATGATCTCTTCTCTCTATCGCATTCTCGTTAAAGGCTGGTTGGATCGAATCATCCCCGGCTGCCCTCGAGTCATTTGACCCTAAGGCCCTACCCTTGGAGGATTCACTAGAGCTTGAACTTCTTAAGTCATCCAAGCTATCCTCTTCAAGAGGGGGAAGAGATTTGATAACCGTGTCTACCATCTGCTGCAGCTCAGCAATCGAAACCCGAGGCAGCACATGGGTAACCTCGACTGAGTCCGAGTCACTATCTTCCCCTTCGCGGCCAGAATGGTCATCCTCAGAATTTGCAGTGATCTCGGCCACATCAGATGCAACTGCCTCGGCATCTGCAACAAAAAAGAAAAGACTTAGACTTTTGTTCTTATAATCTTAAAAGAGGGGGAGGGAAGAAAATGTAAACCTCACTTTAAAAAGGGGGGGGGGGGATACCTGCATTAGATGGTGAGTAACTGGGACTTCATTTGAAATTAAAGGTACCCATAGCAGGGTCCGCTTCAGTATTTATCTCCCCCATGTTTTCATCAAATTGGCCTAAACCCCTGCCCAGGGAATCAGCTCCTTCCCCATCCCAAGCCATGAGCACGGGGGAAGGGGGGATTGCTCTTGCTGCTTGCTCAGGATCCTTAATAACACTAGCAAGAGTATGCGGGGGTCAGAAGGAATGTCCAGACCAGCACAAGCTTCAGAAGCATGGGTTGTGTCCTTGACAGGTACAACGGCGACAGAGGTTCCCTTGGAAGGAGCAAGGCAGGTCGTCGCACTTGAGGAAACCCCAGCACGAGTCAATGGGCGAGAAACTCCAGTGGGAATAGTAGAGGTCTTGACAATGGAAGCGTCTTTCGAGGCGCCCTAAAAAAAATGAGAAAGAAGTGCGAGGACTAGGAATACTAAGGGAGTTGAGAGTAAGATGTATTTACCTTGGCTCGTTTTGAGGAAGCAGTCACTGGCATAAATGTGCTAACATCCTGGTCGAGCTTGCGCTTGTCTCGACAGGCTTTGGTAGCTCGAAGAGCTATCACGGGTGCAGTAGTATCTGGTAAAGCTAGAGGGGGTAAATTTGTTGTACCACAAGGCTCACCGCGCGCGGATATGGAAGTGTTCTTAAAAGGTCAAAACGAGGTGTCGCCCTTTAGTATAGAATGAGCAGGGACAGGGACTGGCGCACTGTTTATAAACTGCCTAAAAGAAATTATCACCTCCTTTCAATATGATCTCATCTTTGCAGCCCATCACCCCACCCTCGAAGTAGCAGGGACGTGAAGAATTTGGCGATTTCCTAAGAGTTCCGCTTCCTCGGAGTCAAGAAAACTAGAAAAACCCGAGGCATATGTGTTGTGGTCATGGAAAGCTCCATAGCCATAATCCCAAGAAAGACCCTGATCATACCCAAATTGCCGAGCTACCCTGTGGGGATTGTAGACTTTTCCTACCCCATAGTGAGGAGGGAGAAGAGTAGGAAGGTAGCCTGGTAAAGACATGGCGAGGATGGTCAATGCTGGAGTACGCTTCAGAGACTTACCTAAAATAACCATGCCATCCTTTGAAGCACAGCAATCAACACGAGGACCATGAGTATAAGGGTGAGCCACGAAGTAGCTCTCCCTATCAATGTACTCGGCCAACTTTTTCTTCGTACCATGCTTATGCCACTGAGCAGACCGTTTTAGGCCACTGTCTGGAGGTAGCGTGGTAGGGCGAGGACCATACTTTGGGAAATGCTCGAACAAGAACATTTGAAGGAAAATTGCATTAACGGGAAAGACCACACTCATACGACCCACAGAACGCTTCATACGAGCATGTGCTAAGTCAAGCTCGTGGTAAAATATACCCAGCAATAGCACGGCCAAGGGAAAACTTTTGCCGCAGGCTAATCTGACAGCCAAATGGATGAGGTCGGGACAAGGCCCATCATCAGGAGGACCTGGAAAGATGAATCTAGATAACCAAGACAAAAGGAAGGCAGCAAGGCGAGCTGAGTCCTTGCACTTGGGACGACTGAAGGATTCCTCTCCATCTTGGTCCTGGAGGGAAAGACTCGAAAGTAATAACAGAGGAGTGACACAAAAGTACACTTCTTTCCTGTTTCTGGAAACTCCTCGTGAAACCCATCATCTTGATAGCACGAAGCAATCTTCCCCGCCGAGGTAATGCACCCCCGAAGCTTGGCCGCAAGCTTAACCTTGTCCTCAGGAATGGACCAAGAGCTAGGGTCGTGCTCACCAAACACGTTCAAACACATAAGCTGGACCACGTCTTCCAAAGTAGGGGTAAATTCCCCCCAAGAGGTAACAAAGGTGTGGGTTTCTCGACTCCATAGAGACAAGAGGAGCTCGAGGTCGTAAATGTAACACCCCCAACATTTTTCACGCATAAGTTGATCAGGCTTATACACGAAAAACGAGGGATATCAAAAACAATTGGCAATATACAAGCATGGAATACAAAATGATGATAATAAAAGAATTTAGACAGGAAAGGAACACTAAA